GTTAAGTGTAGTTGGTTAGCCGCAAAACGCGCAATAGTCATTTAAGCTGGTAAGTATTTGAAATACGTCTTTCTCATCTCAACTCGCCTCGTCTCGCCACGTCTCGTTGCGCCTTATCTCGTCCCAAATATGAGCTGTGTGTTCTGTGCTTTGCTGTGTGTTCTTTGAGTCTTGTGAAATGGATGCTGCATGCTGATGACTCAGTTATTGTTGGGGTTTATAGTTTTCAACAGAAATGCCGACAAGAGCCGAATACAAACAAGAAGAAGACGCAGAAAGTCCCGCAAGCCACATAAAAACACCAATTCCCAAGTAGCGAGCAGCAAGCAGCGGCAGAAATTGAAAGTTGCAGGAACTGACTGATGCATCTCGACTGAGTGGAGAGTGTGGAGTGTGGAAAGGGGAAAGAGAACCAGAACGAGAGCTGAACGATGATGCACCATTAAAACGGGAAAGACCAACAGTAAATGTGTAGCTAAGCGAGTGCTTGACTACAAAATACCCAAAATGAGACAAATCTGTGTTTGCAAATCAGCATTCGGTGTGAAGCTGTGCAAAGATTTGCATCAAGTTCAACGTCTTATCAACTGTGGACAGATTCATATTAAAAAAAAACGGAAAGATCTCCAACTGTTTATTGTCTTAGATCTTGTCTATTATAAAATGCATATCTTTTATTTATTTATTTACAGCTTTAAACATATATTATTTCCTAATTAAGTGTATATTTAACATAAAAGAACTTCCACAGTATACCTTCCAAATATAAGTATATGTATTATATATTAATACTTCCAATTGGATATACTAATCAATTTGAATTGTAATATTAAACATTCCTTTGGTCATCTCATAAATCCCAGTTGTAAAACTGTGTATTCCTCTAAGGATTGTCTGGTTTTTTCCTTACACAATACTGAGTATAGCCGTATGGAGTATGGGGGAAAGGGTTTGTCGTAAGTACTTCAAATGAGTCAATTACTTAAGCTGCATAAGGAATCAAAAATCGTAGCTTTAGCGCCTCGACAAGCGATACAATCAAATTGCCATTAAATTAATATTATTATTATTATTATTGCCGGCTCATTACGCTCGTGTGACTTTTGCGTACAAGTATTATATATATATATATATATATATATATATATATATATATATATATGCATATTATATATATATAAAGCGCGATTCTGGTTCGGGTTCGGTAAGCAGTTTTGTTGTTGTTGTGGTTGGTGTTGCTGTTGCTGTTGCTGTTGTTGTTGTTCTTGTTTTCAGTAGGTTCTGCGATGATCTCATCGATTGCATCAGATTTCGCACGGCCTGTCGTTATGTGGCGCACAATTTAAACTGAAATTCTTGTTGATGGTTTTCCCTCTTCTTCTTTTTTTTGTTGTTCTCTCTTTTATTATTATTTTATTTTGTTTTTTGGTTGGTTTTCTAAAACACATATGCAGCATATTCAAAATTAGCTGTTAGCACGACAGTGATGATGACGATGACATAAAACATACAAAAAAAAAAACCTCCTCACAGCGAATCGCATTAAAGGCGCGCCAAAAGAGCCAGCTAACAAATTTTTGTTATTGCTTTCATGGCCAATGCCATCAAATTTTGTTGCATTGGCCGTTGAGCCATAGAAATGAAAACAGAAGAAACACACCCAATACACATGCAAAAATAACTCCAAACGGAGGCACACAGGTATTTCACAAAAGACCAACAAATTCGTTCAGCGTGTGCAGCAAATTGAGTGATCTGATACCAAGTTCAAATGAAATTAACACTTGGCGTCGACTTCTCGAACTGGAATCGTTGCAAATCAATCAATGAACGAACCCACAAAATGCCTTGATTGGACAACATTATTTTTTAACATTTTCTTTTGACCGTCTGATATAAATATGTATAAGTATTTTAAGATATCTCCGATCAATTCTAGTGTGAAATCGAACGGACCAGAAAACATTTCAAGCCGTAAATAATGTGATTTACATATGAATATTTAACTGTAAAGCGTCGTCTAAACAACATTGAACATTCAACATTCTGAAATTCATTCGTATATTAATCGTATTATAATTTCCAACATTTTCAGCTAATAACTCGCAACGTGTTGGAATTTAGCCACAAGTCGTTCTCTGTCAACGTTTTTTTCCATTCCTTCTGGTTTATTGTATCGTATTGTTGTAACTCATTGACCTCTCTCGTTTAACTTAAAGCTGAGAATTTGAATTTGTTACTGCGTTGCTTTTGTTATTGTTTTGTTGTTGTTGTTGTTTTTTTGCATACCAAATTGACGTAAGTGCAACTGCAACGAACAAAATATACTTCATAAATAATACAATGCAGATGATCTACTTCTATTATGAAAAGGCAGCCAAGAACATCAATAACAACAACAGAAACCCATAAAATGTATTACAAATTAAGTATTTTTTTTAACTTTTGCCACAATATTCAATTACTTAATTACCCTTTTAGTCATATTTCTAGCAATGACGAAATGATTAAAAATACTTTCGTTTCATATGCAGTTGGAGAGGATTGCAGTCGTTGCCATAACTGTGTCAAAACAAGAAGAGGAAATTTGTATATCGATGATCGAATTATGGCCCTAAAATAAAACAATAAACAAAATATTTCTATATGTAAATCTGTTTGTAGAGCGCACAAATCAATGATGGCAACTGTGATCGAATAATCGACTATCAGTTAACGTCAGCTGTCAATATCTTATCAATCACATAACGATTTGAGCCACAGCAAATGCTATTTGATTAGTCAGAGCAGCCAATTCTTTTTGGTGGCATGTGATTTAGAGCACACATTGCATGGGAATAACTTCAGATCACCTGGCGGCAACTGGCTAAATTACGGCATAGGGCAGACAGATATATTTATTTGCCTAGCCGGTTACTACACATTTTTGTTTACTACACACACACACATATATATCTACATATGTTCCTTATGCTATATACATACATATATAGTTGTGTGTACATATTGCGCAAACAAATAAAATCAAACAAAAGGCCGGCAAATGTTTATGTTTTTGAGCCATGCCAAGAATACAAAGCACATTTCTATGGGATCAATCAATAAAAGCACAGGAAACACATTTAGTATCATGTACATATGTATGTAAAAAAAAAATACAAAAAAAAAAATAGCCTGAAGGTGAATTTATTTATAAACTATACCCAAAAGGGACGTAAAGATTACTCACCTTTTCTGCAAACTCCTCGCGAGGACGTCGTGAAATTGTTGGCGCATTCATCAGCTCCTTTGTGGGCGATGGTGTCATGTTTTCTGCTTAGAATTGCGAAATGCGCTTTCTATTCAATTTACGGTTATTTAATTTTTTAATATTGCTTATCGTTACACTCTCTTTTTTTTCTCTTATTTGAACACTTTCGCTCCGGTTGCGTGCTGCAAGTAAATTCAATTTGTTAAAATTGCTTATCAGTTTGGCATATTTTGTTCGCTATAAGCAAAGTTTATTGCGTATTTGCTGCAAAATGTCGCTAAACTTTTTTCTTTTTTTTTTAAATTGTTCTTCTATTTTTAATGGTGAATTGATTATGAGTTTGGTTCTTGTTGCTGGTTTATAGAGTGACGTGTGCCGTTAGACTTTTAACCGTGTTTTCATATCTATTTTTAGCTGGCCAAACACACTCGAATCCAACACCAAAGCCAAAGCCAAAGCCGAAGCCGGCCGGCTAAATGCCAATTTGGAAGCCAATTAAGTTTTTTGGCTTCTTTGCGGCGCCACGACCTTCGAGGTTTTTCCTTTTTATAATTCTAATTGAAATTCAATTGGTTAAACGTCGTTTTTATTTTTATTTCATTTTTTAATTTTTTTTTTTTTTTTTTTGTAATTATGGCTTGCAAAAGGGCTGGCGACGTCATCATCGTCGAAGCGCAACAGTTTGTTGAAGGAGAGAAACACACACACACACACAAAAACAAACACACACACACACACTCCAACTCACACAGATACACAATTGCTCGCACACAGTCACACGCAATTACACACGCGGCACACACGCACACCGGTTTAACTTGTTATCGCGGCATGCAAAAGAACCTACAACTCTAGGCCACAAACAAGTTCTGGAGCGGCACACAGGGCACGCAGCACCAACACACTAACACCAGCAACAATAGCAACAGCAGCAATAATAGCAGCCGGAGCAGCAGCAAAGAGCACCCAGCAACACCAAACAAAAAAACACAACTCAAGTGCTTTATTTTGATATGTTGTTGTCGTATTTTGTGTTTTTTTTTTTGTTTTTATTTTAGTTTAGAGAAAAACAAAACAAAACAACAACTAAAGGGAACCCTTGAGCGCACTCGGGTCCAGGCCAAGTGCCGCTGAATGCTTGAAAATTTACTTTAAATTAAAAACAAACGAAAGTAAATCAACAAAAATGAAACGAAAACACGAAAGCACGAAACACGGCCGCCAACGCGCTGTAGCTTCAAACACTTCAGAAGGCGAGCAACAACTAACAGCCGGGTCCACGGCCGGCATTTATAACTGCCGCTTTAGATTCAAAAACACACAGAGCGAGTAAAGCATGAGAGCAACTGAACACTGGCATAGCGAACTTTGAATACACTAACAATGTGCTTAAATAGATTTCCCATTTGAATTTAGAATGGCTAACACTGTTTTGCTTATACATTCAGCTAAAGCATGCATTCCCACTCTGCTAAATCTTTAATCAGCTTTAATCGGAGCACAACTTTCAATTAATATTTTTAAAAACATTGCGTATTGTTTGTTAAAGTTAAGAAGCTTGCCGCAAGAGTATACAAAGAGCGCATGCTCACGAAGAGAGCAACAGCGAGAGAGAACAATCGGCCAATAGCCCATTTACACTAGCCTGAATTGTGTTAGGTGAACAAATTTTACACTGCCCCAAAATGAATATTTATAAATGTAATATGTGAGCAATTATTATATGTGGATATATATAGTAAAAATTGAGTTGTGAAGATAATCAGGTCCGTTTTATTTGATACTTAAAAAATGCATATGTATATTGAAAATTGGCTACAAGAAACTACGCTATGCGTGAGTGATCTGTTATAATTGGCACTAATCCACAAGTAATATATTTATAAATATACTAATATCGTTATGCGAGAGAAATAACCCACAAATATCAACTATCAACTATCCAACTGTAATGGCGTTCTCTACGATGCGTATCTGTGACTGCAGCTCCTGAATATGCTGTTCAAATTTGTTGATGTCTCCAGTGATTTGTTGCAAACTGATCAACACGTTCTTCATCTTCTCGCCATCGATTTGGACTTCAAGTTCCCGGATCTCCTTGCTAACGTTGCCGGTGTTGGTGACACACTCGACCAGTTCGCTACAATGGGCATGCAACTGGGCCAACAGTTTGTAGGCCTTCTTGGCGTGCAGATCATGCTTGGCGCTCTGGAAGAGCAGATCATCCGTATAGTTGAACTGTCGCTCCAGTTGAGCGGCGACCACATTCAGCTGCTTCTGCAACTGACGCGTATCGTCCAGGACCTTGAAGATGTCGTCGCGCTGTTTGCGTATGTTGCCAATAAATTCGTGGATGCGCAGCGTGTACTCCTTGCGTGGCGCCAACTGCGATTGGTTCGCACTGCGCTGCAGTAGCTCCGCGTGCTGTTGCGTCTTGGCGAGCAGCTCCAGCTCCAGTTGCTCAATGCCCAGCCGCACGCTTTGCACCTGTTGCGTCTCCTTGGCCGACTTGAGGTTGTCAAGCGTGCTGAGCAGCGGTTTGCGATAATCCTGCCACTGCTGCGTTAATGTCTCCCTTTTAGCTTCTGTCGCATGCAGCAGTGCCTCCAATTTAGCCACATTTTGCTCCGGTTCCGCCAGCACCAGACAGCTACGCTCGTGTAGCTTGAGTACAGCTTGGATGCGATCCAATTCGGTGGCTGCAGCGGATTCACGTGCCTTCAAGCTACCCAAACTGGTATTGAGCAACTTGCGCTGCGCCAACAGTTGTTCCGAATCCAAGCGCAGCTGCTGCACTGCATCCGCCAGCGACTGCGACTCAGTAATCCTTTGGGGTTTCTCTGCGGGCAGCAGTTTCTCAACTGGACTAGGCGGCACTTGCTCCTCCCGAACCGCAGCTCCAATAACCGCCTTGGGCACCTGTTCGCTCCAACGTTCCAAATCGTTTTTGTGCACCACCGACGCAATCAGATCAAACGAGCTGCCATCGACTTGTTGAAACAGGTTTGGTGCCAGCTGCTCAAAATACTGCTGCACTTCTTTGCTGCGGTGCTCCAGATTGGCGCCGGGCACATTCAGATTGGGATGCGGCTTGAATTCAATGCACTGGCAGCTGCAACCCAATTGCCGTCGATTTGCCACCGCACGACAGAACTGGGGCACCCACGGCGACTTCAGTTGCTCGGTCAATTTCTTGCGTAGCTCACGCTGCAACAGTTCCCGGGCGCTGACTGTGTGCGCCTTGCCAGCCAGACTGTCCAGGTGCTGGCGTTCGCGTGGCAATCTCTCGATGAGAAACATCAGCAGGCGACGCAGTTCCACTGCGTTCGGGTAGAGGAATATCTGGTAGCCAATGTCACCACGATAACCGTGCTCCTTGCAGCGCTCGGCTAGTGTTGTGGCCACACTAAAACGTTGCGCCATTGCGCCACCCGGCAGGAATCGTGGCAAGTCCTCGGTCATCGTTGGATTGATTTCCAGCAGACAACTCGAAACCGCTCGAACCACTTGCTCCGGCGTGAAAGTGGAGAGTTGATCTGTTGGCTCGATGCTGGCATCGATTTGCTGCAACTGATGCATGATTATCTTGTCCACTTCATCCATTATTGCGTTGCCCACACGCCCATCAGTGAGTAAACAAAAAAACAAAACAGAAAAAACCAGATGAACTCACAAAAACCGAGTTCTGTTTTTGCTCTGCTTCTTCTTGCTCTGTTTTTTTTCTCTACAGCTGTGGGCACTCTAAGTCTTTAACAGTGCAAGAAATGTTATGTTAACAGCGCGCACTTTTGTTTGACTTTCAAATTGTCAACTCGTCAACAATTTTTCTGTTTAATGCATTTATTTTGGTACTGATCGATTTTAAAATGACTTTAAACAATTTCCTAATTATTTGGTACTTACAGATTCCTTTCTTATTAATTTGATCCTTTTATTCTATTTTTGTCATTTTACAACACTGCACGCAGCGCCAGTATTTGAAAGTAAACACAAAAATATTACTGTCTGCCAATGGCAAATGTGTCAACTTGGCGAATTTATTTAAGTGGCACTAGGAACACGAAATTTATCTCTTATCCGACAGTTATTTTTGTGGGGGAGGGGGGTGTTAGGGGTTCTTTTCTCCAGCCTTCATGATAATAATGTTGAGAGCCAAATTATTATTGTCGGCAAACAGTTTCACCGTCGACTTGTTGAGCACCAGAAAATCTTCATTTGTATACGTAACGAAACTCTGACGAATGGAGCGCGGCTTCGACTTCCAGTTGAGGGTGCGATTATTGGCCTCTAATGAAATAAAATAGTCAAATTCGGCGGCATCCCGCACAGAGCCGATCATGCGACAAGCGGCGAAATATTGCTGGCAACCCTCAGCGAGCAGCACCTTTTCCAGCGACAGGAGAAAATGCCGCCCGTGGCAGGACTGGATCATGGTCCAGTCCAGTGCGCCAGCTTGATTCACATTGGTGGCCAAAAAGATGATATCGGTGCCCTCCATGGTAATCACATTTGGATGTGTGCTAACAAAGTGCTTGTACACATCCTTCAAGGCACCCTGCCACACACACTTCTCATCCGGATAGGGGCAGAAGTACGGCCGGAAATCGCAGTCGTTTTCGTGCGACCGCTTATCCGTATATGAGAGACACATGCGGCAGCCGTACAACGCATGCTTGCAGGGAAATATCAGTTTGGAGCCAACCTTCTCCATGGCCAGATTACGTATATTGCACAACGTCACCCGACAAACGGGACACACTGTCAACTTGTTGCGGCACTGCGAACAGATGAGATGACCGCGCGAACATTGCATTATCGGTGGCATCATATAGCCAAAGCATACCGGGCACTCCAGCAGGGAGACAAGAAATTCTCTGGTTGCTGTATCTTTTGGTTTATCGCAGTCGCCAATGCTGCCGCCAACGCTGCAGCCACTTTTTTCCATCAACTGATCAAGCGGTGTCTCCTGCTCCGGATTGTCCTGATCCTTGGGCAATGCCACTGCCGCTGTCTGCGGTATAACCTCTGTGGACGGTCGCTCGAGACGTGGTTGCATTTTGCTGTCGCTAACAAATATGTTAATGTTTTATTATTGTTTGCACTAAAATTGTTGCAATTGCATTTACCTGGGAGGAATTGGGTGGGGAAGGGGATCTATCAAAATAAACAACCGAAAGTTTTTGTGTTAATTTTTCGCACAATTGCCAATTTAGGTTTGTCTAAAAGATCGTTAAAATAGAGAGTAGAAATACTGAAATTTGTTCGTGTGATTGTGGCAAAGGTTCCATTTGAAATGGCCAGGCCTGCTCCAATCTTAATTACACATATATTTGGGCATGATACACTTTTCAAAGTAGCAAGGCAAAAGACCTCCAAAAGGATAGGGTTTCTCCTTCCCCAAATCTTTACCTATCAAGCATCAAATTCAAGCGAACAAGCTGGAAAAAATGCGCTGATCAAGAATATATATATTTTGTATGGGATAGGACACAACTTCATTATATTCTCACTATCCATTTTGAAGATCTCAATATATTTTGTGATTTTCAACAGATATATTTCAAATTATGCCAGTTCATCATTTGTAGCTCAAATAATCAGTAGTTTTCTCAGTTTGGTTTATTGAAAAGACTTTTCCTTTTACTAATCACTTTTATTTTTCATCATCTGTAGTTTTTGTTAAATGTATCTGTGTGTGTGTGTGTTGTTGTGTGTGTGTGTGTGTGTTTGTTGTTAAAATTAAATACATTGCGGTTTTAATGAACCGCTTTCATCATTCGCAATTTCCAATTGCAATTTAATATGGTCAATCAAACTTAGAACAGAAATAAAACAAAATCAACTGTACGGGAGATCGGTCTAAACTATTTAAATTTAAACATTAGCTTGATTTTTTTGCCTTTGTTGTTTGTTTTTTGGGTTTGTCAGTACTTGATAAAAATCTTAGTACAAAAATGTAACTGTCTTTTTTATTTCTTCTTTTTTTTAGGGAGGAGTAGAGACGATGTGTTTGTATTTTTAATCATGTTTAAAAAAATGTTACGTTTCGTTTGGCATGAACAAAAATTGTCGCAATTGCTTACAACTCTCGAGTTATTACATAAGTATATATAATGTTTAATATATATATTTTTTGTTTATTCTTGTTAATTTCATTTAAAAGTGATGTTTACTTTTATAGCATTTACAAGTATTTTTGTATAAAATAATTTACATTAACTAAACTAGGCTGCATAGTTTTTGTTTTATAGAGAGGGTGTATGTATGTATCATAATGGATGTGTGTATGTATTATGGATGTAAGTTTTTCTGGTGAGTGTGTATGTGTGTGTGTTTTTTTTGTGGTGGTTGTTGTTTGTTGTGTTGTGTTGTGTTTTTTGTCGTTGATGGTGGGCAGTGCCGCTCCAAACGTTTTGCCCACGCAGACCGGCTTACAAACTAAATTAAACTAAAACCCACAAAAAAAAGTTAAAGAAACGCTGTTGAATAAATGTGTTTGTTTGTTTGTTTTGTTTTGTGTTTTTGTTTCGAAAATGAAAATCCCTAGAGCTACTAATTATCGCCAGACGGCAAGAGACTGACATACAAATAGACAGACAGACAGACCTACCGACCTACCGCACATACACACATATATACCTTACAAAATGTTGTTTAGCGTTGAATGTGCCAGTTAGACAACTTGTATTAGTAGTATATGTATATATATGTATATATGAGATATATATATATATATATATGTATATATATCGAGTATCGTTTTAGAAACGATGCATTATTCCTTCTTTAGACCAGAGATATGGTTACATTGATGCCCAGATTTCCATTGTCGGCAAACAGTTGCGCAATCGACGTGTCGAACACCAGACAATCCGAATTGTGTATGGCCGAGGCAACACCCTCGTGTATGGAACGTGGCATTGCCTCCCAGGTAAGGCGGCGTCGATTGCCATTCAACTCGAGGCGATAGACGAAGTTCTCGGCCTCTTTGCGCGAGCCAATCAATTGGACAATTGCAAAGAACTGTTGATGACCGTCGTATTTCTCCTGTTTCTCCAGGACGAGCATGAAGTGATGACCAAAGCAGGACTGCATCATTACCCAATCGACGGCGCCGGGTAGATTGATGTCGGTGGCCAGAAATACAATATCTTCGCCCTGCAGCGTGGTGATACTCTTGTGGGACATCATCAGATGCTGCATGACTAGATCGAGCGGTCCCTGCCATTTGCATGAGGCGCCCGGGCAGGGACAGAGGTATGGCCGGCATTCGCAGGTCTCCTCGTGCTCGGTCTTCTCTGTGTATAGCAGTGAGGCAGTGCAGCCGTAGCCCGAATGCTTGCATGGGAATTTAACGTTGGAGGCCACCTTCTCCATGGCCAGATTGCGTATGTTGGCCAATGGGCCGCGGCATGTTGGGCAGCATGTGAGCTTCGAACGGCATGAGACGCACACCAAATGCCCGCTGGAGCATTGCAGTATCGGTGGCAGCACATAATCAAAGCAAACGGGGCATTCGAAGAGTGATGTCAGATCGGCGGACATGCCCGCATCACCGCCACCGGCGGACGACAGTGAAGAGCTGGACGAGGACGATGTGTTCGGCGAGGATGTGTTGCCAGCACTGGAGGAGCCGGTTGTGCTGCTCGTATTGGTGGCCACCACTGCCGTGGCTGCTGCTGCTGTCGGTTCACGGCGTTTTGGATTGATTTTATTGGACATTGGACTTGCTTGGCCTGTTCGATCTATAATATGTGTTGGCCTCCTCCTCCACTACTGCAGCAGCAATTCGACGGCCCTGCGTGCCCCTTCGGCAATCAGCCAAGCGTCTATCTCCCTCTCACTCTCTCTCTCTCCGTCTCTACGTCACTCTTTAACTTCTTCTCGTCACTGCAAAATGAAAAAACACAAATGCGTCACATTAATTATAAGGAATAATTTGGTTACACATATTGATAAAAGCACGGTTTTACTCATAGAATGAACTTTGTCATTTTCTTTTTCTAGCCATAAATGTACAAAATTGATAAACATTACAATTAGCGAAATGAACACACATTGATTAGCATGTAAAGAACTATATTTATTGAAAAAAAGACACATAATTATTTTTATTCCTGAGCGACCTTCAACTCCCTCGGCAATTGTCGCTGTCATTAGCAAAAACTGTGGAAATAATTCATTAACATGAATATGAATTTTGTTTCTTTGTTTTTGTTGGTGCTAATGTTGACCCTAACTTTTTTGGTGGCGCTGTGAAGGGAGTCAAGTTTGAGGTGTGTGTTTTGTGTCTTAGACGAGAGTGTAAAACCACGCAAATTGTCGTATGTCACTCTTATCAGTCCGATGACAAATGCTACCATTAGGCGACTCCGTGTGCCCCAAGAGCCCAAAAAACAGGAGTCGCGTCGCTGCACAGTGATTCGAAACGTATCGATAACGATTTTCCGACTTCAGTTTTTCACTTTTCTGCCGAATTTTACAATATATGCAACTTTTCTGAATCACTGTGCAACGATCCAAAATTTGTGGATGCATGTGTGTGTGTGTGTGTGAGTGTGTTAAGCATAAACAAACGCGACGCGAGCGAACTGCGTCAACAATATGGGCTACGGCTTGTGGCAGCAACGCGAAGTGAGGGTGGCTCGCTGCAGGGATGGGGAGGGGGAACTGGTAGAGGCACATAATTAACATTTGGCTCTGTTGGCTGCGTACCGTAAGAAATTTCCATACCGCAGTTAGCGGGACTGGGCGACTGGGGTAATTACTGCCACTACTGCTGCCACTACTGTTGCTGCTGCTGCTGTTGTTGCTGCAGCAAAGCCATGAATGTAATTAAGTTTTTTTCAATGAGTTTGCAAATTCAAATAGAAAACGAATGACGGAAAGGAGAGCGATATGTGAACAACAACAATAACAACAGCAATAATAATAATGCACATATGTGTACATATATATATTTATATATACACAAATAAACAGCTACAAAATAAGCATAAACGTAAACTTACAAAGCTCTTTTGCGAATCGTGTGTGCGTCAGTGTGTGTGATTGTCTGTGTGTGTGTGTGTGTGAGGCTTTTATCAGTCAGCCAGTAGTAGTATATGTTTGTGTGTGTGTTAGTGCACTTGTACTTATATACTGCTGCTGTATATAGTATATACCATATATCCTCTCTGCGAAACGAATTTTTACTATGTGTGTGTGTGTGTGTGCATAAATCAATGCAATTGCAATTGCAGTTGCAATTGCAGGTGGCAGCACTTCAGGTTCGCACGCACAAACAACGCACACAAAGAGAAAATTGAAAATTGTTTTCGTCGTCTTTTATAAATGTTTGCGTTCATTTATATATTTACGTATGTATGTACATTAAACGGTTTCGGTTCGGCTCGGTTCACCTTGCGCCAAACTCGAAATTCAGGCGTGCGCTAATTTCATTTTATTTTATTTTTTATTTTATCTAATTTTCTTTTATACGCTCGCGCACACATTCATTGAATAATATGGCTACGATATGTACATGTTTGCTGCTGCTGCTGCTACTTCTGCTGCTGCTTCTGCTGCTCTTCGTAGTTTTTGTTGTTGTTTTTCTTTTGAGTGTGAATATCATCTGTTTGGGTCGCCTTCGTCGTCCATCGGTTACATTTACACACGGGATGCAACGCCAAACGACAGACAAACGACTAACGGCAACGACGGAGGGGCGGGGACGCGGGTGCAGTGGCTTGTGCTTGGCCGTAGATTGAAAATATGTTTTGCGTGCGCCTTACGAAGGCTGTTCTTCTGTTTATTGCACAAAAACTTGCTCAATGTTCAGTCTATTTCGGCAGTACAATTGCAAGCACAACTATTTAGCTATTAGCACGTCACACACGCGTATTTCTCGCTATTTAATTTTATCTTTAATTTGTCTAGTGCTGCACACACACACCGATCAGTGTTGACTAATGTTGTAGTTGGTATTTCTAGTATTTTAATAACATTTCCAGCTTGGTACACAACTACATCATCTGGCAGCACTGCCAATAATAATACCAAACTGTATTTCAATTTATTTAACAGAAATTACAATTTTAAGAAATGTTATATTTTATTTGATTAATTTTAACCAATTGATTGCATTGTTCAATGCCTTGTTTAACATTTTTCTCCCGAACAGCGTACTATTTGCATGTTGTATGACAACATCGCTGTAGTTTCATACTCCGCGGCAACCCTGTCGGGTGTAGCGTAATAATTAATCAATCGTAGAGAAATAATTCAAAAGACTTTGTGCCGAGATAAAAACAAACAATTTTTTGGAACGCCATGTGCGTTACCAGCATCATCTTTGAACATTTTGAATAAAATAGATTCAACAAAAAATCAATAATCCCCCGCCCCATCATCATCAATCATTCTCGTATCTGGAGCACGGACCAACCCCCATATCCGACCAGCAGCAGAAGAGAAAAACTGGATTGTATTGTAAAAACAGTCACAATGTTTAACAAATTGTATCTGTTCTATGTGCTAATATTTTGCACATTAGCTGCGCAATGCCTGAGTGCCATAAATGATCCGTACAAGCAGCTGGGCGTAAGTAATACAGCAACCCCTCAGGAAATACGACGTGCCTATAAGCAATTGGCCAAAGAATGGCATCCGGACAAAAGCAATCATCCGGATGCTGAGCTCAAGTTTGTGCAAATCAAAAAGGCCTACGAACTGCTGAACGATGCGGAGCGGCGACTGATCTACGATAGACATGGCATTACCAGTGAGGATTCGCATTATCTGAAACAGAAGCATGACTATAGCGGTTACAATCGTTTCGGCTTTGACCCAGTTGAAGAGTTCTTCGGCAAACAATTCGGCTTCGACCAGGACATCAGCCTATATCACAAACTGTCCGTAACATCCAACTATTTCGAGCAAACGATTATACCCAAGAGCAAGAACAAATTGCATATTATTATGTTTTACAATGACTGGTGTTTCGGCTGCATACGGATAGTTGGTGCATTTAAGAAATTAATCGATACTTTCGAACCGTTGGGCATTCACTTTGCCACCATAAATGCAGCTCACGAGCCATCAATACTGCGTAAGACTGGAGCGGATGATATACCACGAATGGTGCTAGTTTTGGGTGGACATAGTTATGTTTATCGCGAGAATATTTATACGCAACAGAAATTGGCCGAGTTTATTCGCAAGAAGATGCCGTTTAAGATTGGCCAGCGGGTGAACGATGAGAATCTCGACGAGTTTCTCAATGGCTGGACCGATAATAGAGTGAGGGCTCTAGTCCTCGAGCCGAGAAGTGCAACTCGATTAAGATATCTTATTTCAGCGTTTGCTTTTCACGATCGTGTTGCATTTGGGTTTGTCGATCTAAATAGCAAGAGCTCAAAGCTAATATCGGATCGGTTTAAGGTCAATCCCAAATTGGATACACTGTATCTGTTCAATGAGGACTCTTTGCGAGCCGTTGCGAGTATCTCAATGGCTGATATACCCACACAAACGCTGGATAACATCATCTCGACAAATCAATTCTTGTCGCTACCGAGGCTTTCATCGCAAGAAGTTCTCGAGGGAGTTTGTCCCGCCGAGTGGAATCGACCTCGCAAGCGACTCTGCGTGGTTCTAATAACGGAAAACTCCCCAGACTATGATATAGCAAGGGGCGCCTTGAGGCACATTGCTCTGGAGAGTGGTTATAGCTTGGATCGCGTGCGATTTGCGTATATGTTCAAGGAGAAGCAATCCGATTTTCTAAATGCCATCTCCAAGGGCTCATTCGAGGACAATCTGTTGCGTCTGGTGGTCATCTGGCGGCGTGACAGCCCATATCAAATACGAATGGGTCGACGGTGCCAAATTGGACATTAAATCTGCCGACTATCTGAACAATACGGCCATCAATACGACCAAACATGAGATTAATCTAACCGTACAGAGACTTTTGAAGACAAACGAAGCCTTAACCTATGAGGCATTTGTGCAAAATCTATTGGATGAACACGCCCAGGGCATTTTGAATAAGTGGATAACGCGTCTGCTCTATTTGGTGGATTATCTATCCGATAATATCGAAGATGAGCATTTGTTTGCCGCCTTATCCCTGCTAGGAACAATTGCGTTTATGTTTGGCATTGGCTATGTAATGATGTACTTTGTTCGTGCCGAGGAGGAGAGCCTCAAGGCTCAGGGGCAGCTCAATGAATCGCTGTGCAATAAACAGAATAAACATGTGCCGGAGCTAAAGCTTTATGAGCTGAGAGCTGAGAAATATAATGGATTGGTACGATTACTAAAACCCGGATGTCGAACGATTCTATTGATTACCGATTTGCAAAGCCGGACCAAACTCATTCCGCCATATCATCGTGCCGTTTGGCCATATAGGAGGACCAAGACTCTCCTCTTTGGTCATATGCTTATTGAGAAGGGTTTGTCGTGGTATTCGGAGCTGCTGCGCTTATCGCTATGCACAAATCAAAATCTCCAGATCAATCCCAGGAATTGTGTGGGCACCGTTATAGCTTTAAATGGACACCGAAAGTATTTCTGCGTATATCATGCTAAGCATCCGGAATGCGCTCGTGGCACCAAAAGAATGATTAAAATGACCAAACAATTGCTTGACAGGAATGATGACCCAGAGATTGGTAACTTCCTTGGCGTCAACTACTCCGAGGAGTCTGATGTAGAATCGAATGTTCTGTTCGAGGACAATTTGCTGGATGGCCTCAGCAATTGGCTAGATCGATTGTTCGAGGGAACTACTCACAGATACTACATCAACTACTGGCCAGACTTTCCTACTAAGTAAAAATCCCCTTTACGATTATTATGCAAATGTAAATTACTTTGTCATCCCAATTTCTTGTAAATCCTTCTAGTCAATAAACTACTACCATTTATTATGTTGATTATTTTTGTTTAAAACAAATACAGTTTTTCCGTTCAATTATGAACGCTTTATCATAAATTTTAAGTTTTTTGTCTTCATTTTTTTCAAAAAATTCCAATTTCTAAAGTGCTAAAAAAAGATAAAAATTAAAAAAGAAAAATTATGTTGGCAAAATAAGAATTTTGTATTGTATGTATATGAATTTTTATATTTAGAGCAGCGATTACTGTCAAATCGTTGATATTATTTGAATTATTATTATAAGCGCGTTAAGTTTCTCCACAGTGATGTATCCAGAAACTGCCACACGATTCTGTATTATTCAAATGTATTATCAATCAATCTTAGTATAATTTAATATGCGTAACCAAAGAATAAATAAATGATAAGTGCATTATTACATTATGTAGTTAAACTGAAGTCCAGATTTCTTTTTATTCGGTATTTGGGTAATATCTCTGACATACCCACAAACTATTCATTAGTTAAGCTCATTTCTTAAATTAAACTGATAAACTGATGTCCAGCAGATATTAAACCTAATTAGTGGGGCTCCATCAGCGAGTGAAGTTTAATTACCGCACGGTAATCATTGTGCGAGAGCAGACCGCGTTGCGAACGCTTCAGGACACGTTGCAATCGCTCCGTGGTTTCTGCATTGGTTTTCATCTTGAAGAGACCGTCCAGATATCTGAGTGACTCACGCGACCAGAACACGGATGGGGTTGTGGCATCCGGATTGATGCTATTGCGCGAATCACCGTGCTCCATGTCAGCCAGCAACTTGATGCACTCCGATTGCAAGGGACCATTGCGTCGTTGCAATTGCAACCTGTGCGGCACACGTTGCTGCATATTGTTGCAGGGCAGCAATTGTTGTTGCTGCTGTTGCTGCTGCTGCTGCTGATGATGCTGCTGCTGCTGCTGATGGTGCTGCTGCTGCTGCTGATGATGCTGCTGCTGATGATGCTGCTGCTGATGATTCTGCTGCTGATGATGCTGCTGCTGATGATGCTGCTGCAGTTGCTGATGCTGCTGTTGGCCTGAAGCTGGATATCTGCCATATGGCTGTTGGCGTTGTTGCTTTGATGGACGATTTTTGTTGTTGTTATTGTACTGCTGCTGCTGTTGCTGGTCATCATGCTGCCAAACTGGTGGCAGAGGCCGTCGTATTGCCTGCTGAACCGGCAACTTGACATTTGTCCGTGTGCGTTGCTTTGGTGTGCGATTGTTGCCATTGTGTTGCTGTTGTTGCAGTTGTTGTAGTTGTTGTTGTGGCATTGCCTGAGCGCGCTCCTCATGCTTCCAAACGGGCGGCGAAGGCGACTGCTGCTGATCTGACCATTTGGCATTCATCAATGCACGTTGCTTGGGCGAGCGATTCTTGGTGGCATCCTGTTGCCAACCTAGAGGCGGTGGCGGCGGCGACGGAATACGATTGCGCTTGCAACCATTCTGCAGGCCCAGCAGCGCGGGATCAATGTTGAGCGTTGTCATGCGATTCTTTACGTCCAGCCGACCATAGCTTTGAAGCAGTGCCTCATAGTTGGGATGAGTATGGGGACTGAATATTAAGCGCCAGTGCTCCTCAATTTCGTTGCGCATAGTGGGCGTGGCGTTCTCATCCGCCGAGTGTTCGTTGAGCAGGCGCTTGAGTATGATGAGCAGCTGATCCAAATGCATGTTGCCATTGCCGAGTCCCGCCTGGCCAAACAATATCATGTTGAGCAGGCGACGCTTACGTTCGGCCAGCTTGTAGCCATTTTTTGTGTTCAATTGCTCCAGCTCTTTGATGCGGAAATAATGATTCTTGGCATTGCCCAGATCGCCAGTGAGGCTATTTATGCCATCGCGCATAAAGCGTATGAGGACATCGATGCGTTTCGGCGGCTTTTGGCTTTGGAATTCCGTGGTCTTTCGCTTCACCTCCTGATTGCGATGTAGTAGCATTATCTGTAGATCCTCTTGGTTCTTTTTTAAACCATAAATGACCAGGACGTAGCCGTACTCCTTGAAATCCATACGCACATTCACATTACACTTCTTGGCTGCACTCGAAAGGAATTGACGTCCCTCCGGGCTAAACAGATACTCGGTTTGATCGCGAGCCATTAGAATTTTCGCCTCGGATGGCACATCGGGCAAGCTGCTCTCTGGCTCTGCTGCTGTTGATGTGGCCTTGCTGCTGTTCACGCACATCGAGATGCCCTGGTTGTTACAGCTGATGATCATCGGGTTGTCAGTGTCCTTATCAGCATCAGCAGCAGCATCATCATCAGCAGCTGAGCTGAGTGGTATAATATCGGGAAGATCCTCCATGGGTCCTGTCTTTTTTTGCCCCGGGCTGATTACATTCTCAACGGATGCTGTTGTCGAGCTTGGAACCTCAAAGTGCTCTGAGAAACTGTAATTCGAATCCGAGTCCAGGTCGTGTGGTGGCACTGTGGATTTCACGACAACACTGCAGCTGGGTTTTGTATTTATAATAGTTTCTGTTGGCTTATTCTGAAAATTGCTGCTTATCTCCTCTTGCTGCACTTTAGCTTCCACTGCGTTTGGATTAGTATTTGGCTCCGGAGGCAGCTCTTCAATTATAACGGATGAAGATGTTGCTACCGCGTCACGCGCTGCTACTGTGGCCTGTGGATTCGGTACATATTCATTTGAATAAACTTTCAGCTGCATTGCCGCAGCGGATTTCTTGCGCTTATCTACAGATACTGGTCGTGCCAGACCGACTGTCTTAAGGAAACGCGCATAGATGCTGTTCTTAGAAAACTCTGAGCTCCAATTGAAATGAAAAGGCGTTTCGATAGCAAAAAACTCATTCAGATCGATCGGATATGTGACGGGTCCGCTACGATCCTTATACACTTTCTGATGCGATACAATGCGCTGCAGATAGTTCGAATTACGAAACTCTCCCATGCGCTGGCGACACTCCTCAAACAGATGGCCACGCGATGCGCAATAGCTGCAGTTCTTCTGTCGATATTGAACATTGCTATCCAGCTCCACATTCGAGCGTGTCTGTGGACAAGGAATATAGGCAACATTTATTATACAGCTAATGCTATTTATACTCTTCCACTTACCGTGGAGTGATAACGTCGCCACTTGTCTGGACACATATCGGTGCTGTGGCCACGCATCTTGCACAGCTGACAGATCATGCGGCTCTGAAACGAGCATTTGTTGCACTTCTGTACATACATTGGCTGCTTGGCGCCACACTGTAAAGGAATGGAGTTTAGTATAAATATAGCATTTCCCAAGCAAACAATTTAAATGCGTTTCTTCTTAGCTGCTTATGAAAGTCCGTACGTAACTTACCCCCAAGCAAATAGCATTTGGACAGCGCGGCTCGGCATGGCCAGTCATGCCGCATGTGTAGCAAACGACGGGCTTGCGTGGACGCGGACACTTGGAGCGAACGTGACCCATTTCAAAGCAATTTGTGCACTTCAGATGGGAACGTTTGCGGGCAGGCGGAAAGCGATCTGCATTTATAATGCGCCACTCGTGACGTCCACCTAGGCAATGAAAGAAGGGAAATTGTTAAGTGATTTCAATTAAAGATAGAAATATTTGTGAAAACCAACTAGACATGGCCCTTTGAATCTTTTGCAAATTGAAATGCTCGCCATTCCAGCTGTCATTGTAGAAGCGACACATTTCATCATTCCAGCCGACCAAATCACCGCCCCTCAGCTGTTCCTGAAGTGCGGACATGTTGTGCTCCACTTGCAACTCTGCAAACTCTGGATGTGACTGCGGCTCAGCTTCTGTTTCATTTGCATCGGTTTCTAGTTCAGCCGACTGCTGATAGGGTTCATCATCATCTGATATTACCTCCAGCTCTGGATTTGTGGTTGTTACCTCCTCTAGCGGTTGGTTGTTTTCTGGCATGTATTTGGAGAGTCTAGTGTTTTGATCGATGCGGTCAAAGACTGCGCTTATACGCTCCGTGACGGCTTCATTCATCTCAGCCTCATCCTCAGTGTTGGCATCGGAGCCAACGCTATCCATGGCCTGCTCATCTTGCTGCATCTGTTCCATTTCTGTTGCTTGCTTCTGCATCAACAGACGCTCAGCAATTTGACGTGCTGTTGGCAACGATTCGTCATCCGCCGACTCCGAGCTGGCATCGTCTCCGACGACCGATTTGCGTGGCCCCGCTGTTACAGCACTTTCGGAGTTGCGCCTTTGACTTATTCGTCGTATCTTGCGCTTGCATCGTTCCAGGGCCATGCCACGTGATATGCCAGGCACACCCGTTGCCTGCACACCATCATCGCTATCCGTGTCGTCGTCGTCGTCTTTGTCACCCTCGGTGTTGGGATCGGATTGACTTTGATTGGTGCTCGAGCGTCGCTTGCGTAAACGTTTCGTCTTGTTCACATTGACCGCCACCACCTCCTCAACATCCGATGATTCCGACTCGGAGTCCACATTACGTATAATCGTTGGCGTAAGCTTTGGTTTAGCCTTGCAGTAAATGCCGCCCTCTGTGAGATCTGATTCGCTTTCGTAGACATCGCGTGCGCGGAACTGTTGCTCGTCAACGCGATAGTTTTGCTTGATCTCTTCGAGCCTGGATGGTGGCACAAATTCGTACTCGGATGAAGTATCCGCTGCCTGATCCTCCTTCTGCGCCTGCTCCGCCTGGCTGCTCGGCTCGGCGGCATCCCGAATTGCATTCTCTGTCAAAACAAGCAGATCTTCGTCTGTGGCACGTTCACAATCGGCAATGAGGCGACTGGTGTCCTTTTGTACAATGAAATCATCGCTGGATAAGACCGAGCTGCAAGGTGAATGCATCACGGATGGCAGCACAGTCATCGAAGTAGTGGCGTAATCTCCGCCCAAGCTAACATCCGCGGCATCCATTGCATTTTCCTCCATATACGGTTGCACCGGCTCCTCATCACTAGCATCCACATCTATAATGGGCACCGGGGGCAGTGGCACAATGATAACGTCATCTGCATCCGAGGACTTTTCGCTGTCCACTAAGCTAATCAGCTCAATTGGCTGCTCTTTCCCCTGCTTGTTTTTCTTGTTGGCCTGCACTCGCTTGGACTTTTGTCGCTTCACAGCCAGTCGCTGGAGCTGTTCTAGCTTGCGATTGGCCTTGGCAAAAGGTGCGAGTCCACGCTGCACTGGCTCCCGTTTGGCTACGGAGCATTTGGATGGTATCGCCACCAACAGCCGCTGATCAAAACGTTCTGGTTCATCATATTCATTTGCTTTTGTAGTTGGTTGTGCTATTGGTGGTTTTTGCTGTATTTGTTGTGGCTGTTTCTTCTGCGACTGTTGCGACGGCCGACTTTGTACCTTCTGCGGTAGACGCATCTTTTGCTGTTGTTGCTGCAACAGCTGTTGGACCGGATTGAGAGCATTAGGCTGCTTCTGTTGGGGCGTAAAGATTGGCCTCTTGGGACTATTGGCATCTGGACGCTTGTTCTTTGGCAAAGCGTTTACAGCTGAGGCGACAGGTGACACCGGCATGTCTTGCTTTGTGGATGAAACTGCTTTGGGCTCCTCTGCTCGTGTGGCTAAAAGCGAGTTTAGAAGAACAAAAAGTTAAAACAATTATTTGAAGAGTGCCTACAAAGAATTACTCCTTGAGTTGGGAAATTATTATATATTAATAAAGAAGCTTCACACAAGTACTTGCAAAAGGACAACATGTTTATTTATGGTATATACAAGAATAGCGAAAGTATATGCTGTAAATTTCAATATCCTGGTGGATTGAGCAAACGTTTTATGTGTTCATTACGAATATCTGTGTTGTGTGGCACATTCAACCTATAGCCCTGACTTTTGAGCTCTTCCAGCTGAATCTCATCGATGTGATAGAGGATATACGCATCCATCTGTATATCTGCACGATTCGGCCACAGCAGCACAGCCACAGAGCGGCGAAAATCGTCGACGGCTTGAAGGATCTGCTTGTGGGATGTGTACAAGTTCTCCAGCATTGTCAGCTCCTTCGGTTGGCCGTGCTCAGTCTGTGCCGCATAGCGTTTTTGCATTTGCAATGCATTTTCCAATTGCTGCACTAGCCGCATAACCACAAATCGTCTATAGCGTTCCTCAAGGTACGCTCGAGGCTTATTGATACGGTTCGTGTTGCGTCCGATGAGCGTTGAGAGAATCGTGACCGTAACACACGACGTCACAACATGAAGGAACATCAACAGGACTGTGGCTGACAGCAAATACTCAACTGGTTTGCGACCGATTTCCTCTAACCAGAAGAGCAAATCATAGCCATAATAGACGTGACAATAATCCATCCATATTATGATAACCAGCAGGTTGAGCATAATGGGCACAATAATATTATAATTTCGAACGATAATCATATTAAAACAGGCGCACCAAATAGCGCTGGATCATGCTACTGCCAAATAGATAATTCTATGTAAATTTTATATGAAATATGTAATTTTGAATGAAAAGGCTAGTGGGATAGTCAAAAGTCAATTTTAAATCAATGCACCTACATAATAGTAAAAATGTTTGTACTTGTTGCTCTACAAAAATCGCTCTCAACTGGTCTTTGATATGACCCATTTTAGAAACATTAACTAGCTGTTACTACCCAGCATTGTTTTGTTTTTTGTAGAGTTTGTTATTTTTGCTCAATTTCCCCAACCGTGGATTGCATTTCCCCCAATATGGGTGGGACATATCGATTAATTTATGTATGCAGTGCACTGAAAATGAGTTCGGGCTCGGTTCGTGCAATCGTGCGACCTAACAAAAATTTGGAGCTGCGCGTTGATTACCAATCCATCACTCAATACATACATTTTTCATACATATCTATTTATATATATAAATTGAACTCACATTCAACCGATGGACTTGTCTTGGCTTTAGAGATATCATTAACAGATGCGGATGCAGCTTCATTTTTATCTGCCCAATAACGAGGCTTGCTTGGGCCATTGTTGATAATCCGCTTATCGCTGACAAAGCGCACCTGCTGCTGTTGTTCATTTTGCTGCTGCTGCTGCTGCGGCGGCGGTGGCATGCTTTGACTGTCCACATCCATGTTGAGAGCCTGTTGCTGCTGTTGTTGTTGTTCGTTGGTTGCATCATTGTAATGTATGGATGCATATAGTATTGATTCCAGCTCATTCAGCCGCTCGCTATCCATTTCGTCAATCTAAAAACAAAGAAAATTTACTTGATTATGCTGCTACAAATATTGTCTGTCATTTGAGTGTGCTTACATCGCTCATTGTGGCAGTCTTTGATATATTTGGCTATTGTTGTATTTCTCTTGAACATGAAAAAGCGAATCTATTGTTATTTGTTATTTTTAAGTATTTTTTATTTTAATTTTACACAGAACCACGTTTTGACTAGAGACGAATGAACGAGCAGCGGCGCATGTATCGATAAAACTACAAAATCGATAACAAAATAAGCAATTATGCGATAAGCGATTATTTTAAGAGCAACCCTAACCGCTTCCAGGCCGGCCACGTACAAGTACAAGGAATTGATAAAAACGGAGAATAACAATTAAATGTGAGTTAAACAAAGTAAACTTGGCTTAATTTCAAAGCTAATACCATTTGCACTTGTAGCATGGAGCACATGCAACGCTACGTTTCACCGATCAATCCAGCGGTCTTTCCACACCTGGCCACTGTTCTGCTCATCATTGGAACGTTCTTCACAGCCTGGTTCTTCGTCTTTGTGGTGTCCCGCAAAAGCACCAAGGAGAGCACATTGATCAAGGAGCTGCTGATCAGTCTGTGTGCCTCGATATTCCTTGGATTTGGCATTGTATTCCTCCTGCTAACTGTCGGCATTTACGTATGAGGCGAAAACAAATGAGATCATTCCGTTTTAGAAGAGATTTATGCATGAATAAAAAATTATGTGTTGTGGGCGTGTTAACGTACGTTGGGTTTTTATTCATATACATGTATAGTTTCAAAGATTCAATTTCAATTTAAAGCAGTACCGAATACATATATTATATATTAACATATATCAATTTGAGTGTTGTTTGAATATTAGTTTGCACTTGAAAAAACTGCAAATGTTCATGGGTAAACAAATAACTGAAAAAGGAGAGGATAAAGCATATCCTACTAGCCAGCCAGTCCTGCCTTCTGTCTACACTTTTGCATTGTGGCGCGCAATATGAACTGCTTGCGTGAGAGGGTGCGCACGTGCTTCAAGAACGCCTCCAGATCAATGACACCACCACGCAAACCCTCGCCCAAATAATAGATGGCATCCTCTGTGGAAGCTTCATCAGCGTAGGCATTCAGTAATCTATAAAAGCTCTGTCGGATTAAATAAAGCACATTAAACGAGATTATGAAACATACTGCCTATATAAAGGTGCTGTAGTTGTAACGGCCTCGTCCGGATCAATGGACTCTGCACTCTCAAGAGTCTCCAGACTTGTCTTCAATTCCTGTTCCTTGTCCTTCAGTATGTTAATATTTTTCTGCAGATCAACCTCATCGCGTTCCAGGCGACTGACGATTGCATCGATCTTGGCACTGCCCTCCATTAGCTCTTGCTTGGTGCGATTCAGCGTTTCGATTTCAGCCTGATACTGATTTACCTTCTCCTGTATGCGACGTCTCAACTTGTCCTCCACAGCGCTAATAAGTGATGCTTTGATGTGCTCCTCGGTAATTGTGCCTGTTGAGCTGGGATTAGCTTGGGCACCAGGGTTCTAAGCACGGTTGCAAATTTAGCGAGTATAACGAATGTTATCTTACCACCACACTTACATATCCAGCACTGCCCGGATAGACGCCTGGTTGTGGGTAATTCATGTACGGCGGATATCCGCCTGAACTACCAGTCGGTCCAGCACTGGTCGATGGATATGGCATGAAAGTGCCGCCAGTGGGATAGGGCGGAAAGTTACCACCGCTAGCACCAGTCGCACTTGGATAAGGTAGATATGGATCTGGAGGATTCAAAAATTGGATAATAGTAGAATCACGCATTTAAGACAATAGCGTGCAAAATATTACAGTTTGAGGGTTGTGGCGCAGCAACTTGTTGATCCTTGGGCTTGGAGTAAACGGGCGGATGATCACCGAATGTCACAATCATAACCTGTATAAGCGATAGCAGATCCGAGCTATGCGGCTGCCAGTCATGCAAATAGGGCAAATACACCTTGCCATTATGGTCCACATACATGGAAACTTTAATCTGCATTGTTGGCGTCGGTTTCACAAAGCACATTGGCGCATTCTGGGGATGGGTGTCCATTAGCCATATGCATATGGGAATGTAGTAGGTGCTATCTGTGAAATCGATATGATTAACACATTTCCGAGTCTGTTTTTAACAGAGCGAGCCACTTACTCTTATACACCACTGGAATTGTGCCAAGCAATGTAAACAAATCTTTTGAGCTGCCATCGTTAAACACTGCAACAACAAAAAATAATTGATTATCACAATAATAATTTATGCACAACTCACTCGTCGAACACACTCACCGAATTTTTGCAGATTGTATGTCAGACTGCGATACGTGGTAACGACATCGACAACATCTTTCCGTGTTTGCGCAATATTTTTATACTGTAACCAATGAAAGGGTATTTAATAATTCTGGTTAATTTAACAACATGAGCTCCAATTGCGTGACAAGCAAAAGGATGGAAAATGGCTATAAAGTTATGAGTCATCATACCTTTGATAAATATTTGTTAATTTGCGCCTCTTCTATGGCAGGCATTCTAGTTTCTTAATTTTAAGTCGAATTTGGATTGTGCACCCGCTGCTAAAACGAAGTTATTAAACAAATTTCTTTATATTCGCAGAACGCAAACAAAGTCGTCAATTGAGTACTTTTTATATGAGAGTATTGAGTACATATATGCAAAGTTATCGCACAACAACGATAACAATTCAAGTATCGATAATCCACGCGTTCCGCCGAGCTCTACGAAAACGTTACAGTTTAATAAATTGGGAGTCTTCAAGTGAAGAATCAATGCCCCCAAAAAGTCTGTGCGTGCAAAAAGTCATTTGAAAATGCTTTATTTATGTATTAATTATGTTGCTACATATGTGTGAGGGAAATGATATGTTCATTGCGTTTTATTCCGTTGAATGGATCGAAGGAAGGTTCGTTTGTGGGCAGTTACTTTGTCTTGGGCACTATGCGGCTTTTTGGGCGTCTGTAAACAAATAAGAACACAGAAATCATAATTTTTAATAGAGTGAAACGTCAGCACAATGGCTTTGAATTGTATCTTAAATGTAACTTTATTTGAATACTTTCGTTTTTGTCTCTTTACTCATTTAGGCATATATGTTTATATGGATGTATATATATTATGTGTGTGTTTGTTTGATTTGTGTAGGTGAACTTAGCCAATGTTCAGTTTACTAGGCATTACTATAGGTATTGTTCATTTGTTACTTTTTAATATAATATATATATATATATATATATATATATATATATATATGTATATATATATATATTATATAAATATGTATTTTCGCAATAATTATATATATGTAAGTATTTTATAAAAATCATCATCATCGTCGTCGTCGTCGTCATGAGAAGCGCACTTGCTTCTCATTGTGGGTGGTGTTTTAGTTTTAGTTGTTAAATTTTTGGATTACACATATAAAAAATAATTTTTCACTCTTACTCGCGTATTTTCACACTTACGCTACACATATGCATTTGTGTGTGTATTTATGCATTTACCTGTGTATACTAGTAAGTTAGTTAAGAGAGTAGATAGTATCTAGGGCATACACTTACTACTAAAAACCATTAAATAGTTTAACTCATTCTTTTTATCATCTTATCTGCTTTAAGGTTACATACATTTAATTTCATAATGTTAGAATACAAAATGGTTTCGCTCGTATCATAATTTTCCATTATCTTTATATTTGCTTTGTGCTATATATTTTTGCGTTTATCTTTTTAATCGGCGCATGCATTTTCAAAGTGCTCAATATCCAGTTCCAATCATATTCTCATTATTATTATATTTTGTATATATATATTTTTTGTTTTTTTTGGTAATGTACTGTTAGCGGGCAAAATAAATGGCCAATTAATATTCATTATAATTCAAATTTTTCTTTCGATCCTTTTTTGTTTTTGGCACATTAATGCATTCATTGCCGTTTGCTCTTTTTGTTGATATCGTTAAATACTTTAAACAAGTGTTCCATAATTAATCTTCATAAATAACAACACAGTATATGTTTGTAGATACTCACAAATTCAAAGTGTTTACGAAACTCAAGTGTTCAACAACAAGTGAAGCGTGGGCGTGGTCATGTGTACAACATACATATAAAATATTATAGATAGCAACGTTTTATTTCATATCAAATAAATGAAAAATTGTACATTTGTTAGCGAGCGCAAAATTAAAATGCATTTGCATATGGATATTACAAGTCGATATTTTAAGGTTTTGTTCACTTCCATTTCCTTTTTTCTTTTTTTTTTTTTTGTTTTCTTTTCTTTGTTATAAGTGTATCAAGATAAATTTGTTCTAAAATGTCAGTCTATTGCGCAAGAATCTACTTTTGTGGTTCGGTTTTCTTCTACACCGAATGCCTACGATTGTTTTTTTTGTGTTTTGTTTTTATTTTGTTTTTGTTTTTTTGTTTTAATATAAAAAATTCCCTAATATGCATTGTCATTATCGTTTCGACAAATGCGACTTTTTCGCATTGTTCGCTGTCCAACTCGTGTTGTGTGTGTATGTGTTGTTTTTGTTGTTGTTGTGTGTGGGTGTGTGTGTGCAAGTATTTGTGTCGCGCTGACATTTGATGTTAGCTCGATAAGACCTACATACAAACATACATATAGATACATACATATGCCCAGAATTGGGATCATTGTCAAGCTACTGCCACTTCATGCTGATAATTGCTACATCTACAGGCTACTTTCTGGTTTGATGGATGTGGCAAGGACTTAACCTAGCTTCGTGTACGCATAAGCGGCGATGACGCCCACAACAACACCAGCTGCAATATATGTGAGTAATGACCTTCGTTTTTTCGCCGCCTGCTGATTGTCCTCGTTCTCCCGCTGTTTACGCTTGATTTCGCTGACTTTCTGCTCCAGACTGGCCTGGTATTCATTGCGTTTTCGCCGTTTCAGCTCATCCCCGGTACTGTAATAGATTTATACATTTATATTTCATCCATATATTTTTTTATATAGAAATGTTTGAGTAACATACCTCGCTGTCAAATCAATGCCATTGACCTTGTGCTGATCGCCTGCCGTTGACTTCTCACTGTTGGCATTGACATCATCCTCGTCGGCCTGTAGCATTGTGACGTTACCATTGTTTGTCTCCGATTTCGGTTCATCTATGTTCTCGTATTCCTCGTCATCATCATCATCATCATCATCATTATCGTCGTCCGCATCGTCATCGCTGTCCGATTCCAGCTGCACTGGAATTGGTAGTGGCGGCAATGGACGATTGTGGTGCAGGCTGTCTGCCACCTCTGCATTTATGATCTGATTGATTATGTTATTGAGCGCATCCTTGCTATTCAGAGCTGGCTTGTCAGTTATGCCATCGCCATCGCCTAAAACAACATTGTCGCCATTTGCCTGCGCAGCTCGCATGTCCAGAGCGAGCACACCGCCCGTAATGGGCGCCGGTGGTAAGTTGAGCGATTGCAAACGTCGCGGCAATGGTGGCGGTTGCTCTTCCTGTGTCTGTGCATCCGTATCATTGCTAATGATTGGCTCCTCGGCACCCAGAAAGCTCTGCAAATGAAAATATGACAGGTTAGAATGCCGTTTCTTTGGCTTTAAATTGTCTTAATTAAAATTGCTAAAGTGTGCCTTATGCACATTATCCGCTGTTTTTTTATATACTTTCAATTTCGTTAAATAATTGTTATACAAAACACATCAGATTAAATCAAGCCTTATATCACTCTCTATTTAGAATTAGCGTTAGAGTTCAGTTTTCAATCTCAATACGTACAGGATCGTTCAGTTTCTTAATGCCCTCGATGATGGCCTGATATGAAAAGTCGAGCTGATCGGCCGTCTGTATGAGTCCCAGGCGATAGCTGCGCAGCTCGCACAACACATTCGACACATTGCAATCGCCGTACTTGTCAACCAGCACCAGACAGCAGTCGACCAGGCAAAATGTGCCGGAGCGACCAATGCCGGCGCTACAGTGGACCACGGCTGGGCCAACATCCTCCTTTAGGCCGCCCGAGTCGCGCACCTGTTGCAAGAATTTCAAAAATGCATCCGGCGAACTGGGTATGCCAAAGTCCGGCCAGGTCGTATAATGGAATTGCATAACTTCACGGCTTTTTTTCGTTTCGAGATCAGTTAATCTGCGACGTAAAAATGAAAAAGTTAAGTTAAAATTGTGTGCATATGTATATTAGATCGTGATCGATCTGCACTCACTTAAACCACCGGCGAACAAAGTTCTGATAGTTTTCGCAGCAGACCAACTCAACGGATAAGCCGACATCCTGCAGATTGAGCGCTTGCTGGGCTCCCAGCTGATCGGGCCAATAGCGATGGCATTTGATTTGTTTCTTCTCCATCAGCTTGTTGAGCATGAGAATCGCACACGATTCTTGCTCCCAGACCATTAGCCAGAAGTGACCCACTGTATCCCGCAGCGGACCCTGTGTGAGTATATATTGACGATCGGCGCGTTCCAGCTGTAAAAAGTGTTATTATTGCATTAATTGAAATTCAATGGACAGTTAATCATTTAATTTGTACTCACTTTCACCAGGTTAGCATTGATGTAGTCCACGCTGCCGCGCTTCAACACAATACGTGAATGGTCATAGGGATTTACATCCCTGTATCGGTTCAGTCCCCGATTCTGTGAACGCTCCGATTCCAGTGTAGTAAACAGTTTCACTTTAGCCTCGCGTTCGCAAATTTCACATATTTCCTGCAATCATTAAAAAAAAAATTAAAACGATTATGAATGAGTGTGGGCGGAGTATGTGGAATTTCTGTGTGATTCACGCTTGCGGCGCGCAAACTCAGATAGCTTTCTGGGGTTGCCCTCTCAACAACTGCCGACAGTCGATAGTAGTCGCTAATGTTGGCTATGTCGACTTGTTATCTTGGCCCAGCGACGCTTTGCGCCACCTTAGCATGACTAATTGATCACAATGTGCTCTGCACGTATGTGCAACATTATCTTTTCTTTTTTGATAGCTATCAGTTGTAACTACTTTCAATGGTATTGACAAGAGTTCTGTGTGTTCATATAGATACGGGGCATAACTGACTATCTGACTCAACATGCCCAGCCAAAATGCAAGGATATCATTGCCTCGAATACCACTGAAATCCTACTGAAGACCATAGCGTTGAGGTCGAACAGTTTATGAATGGCAAATAATATTAACTAGATGGTTTATTCCATAGGTATTCAAAATATACTTATATAAATTCACTAAGTAGAATTATTGTGTCAGGGAAATTTTAAATAACGATATACTCAGACTACTAACTTATATTGGAGTGATTTAAAGTATGTTGTAATAACTAAATGCAAATGTTTCGTCTGATTTTGGATTTGTCGATATATGTGTGATATATATAGTAGTTGTTAGCTAAGTATTTTTTTTGTTAAAGAGCTGGTTAACAAATTAACAAAACTAACAAAAAAAATTTATTTACAAAAATTCCTCAAACTATATTAATTAAATCAGAAAAAATATGTATATCGAATCTGATTCGAACAACAAATTCATTGTCATCTGCTGTTCCCGCCTAAGCGATCCATAATTCTACCCAATTGCTGGCCACTTGGCCACTTGATTGCGTATATATATAAAAAAAAAAGTAGTTGAATTTGTATACAACAAATGCAACTCAGCAGTCGGTAACGCATTCACAGTTGTGACTAACGATGAGGCGGCAATAACTTTGTTAAATTTTTGTGTTGCTTTTATTTTTTTTTATTTATTTATTTATTTTTTACTCAATTGTATGCGACGCAGTTTTTGATTCCAGTGCGAATAATCGTTTTTGTTAATTGTCAGTTCGTCATTAAGTAGGTGAATCAGTTTTAAGTCGTCAAGCCACTCCCTCTCCCCGATAATCAGCACAAATTGCGGCTGACGACTGTTATGAAATTTAATTGAAAAGAACATTGCCCGATAACGCGCAAAGAGCAACAGAGAGCAAAGCGAATTATCGAGATAAGACAGAATGAAATTTCAATATGCGTGTAAACTAAAATTGCGATGAGCATCAAGTGTCGTTATCATTGCCGTTCGAACTGTTCCTATGGCCAAAATTGCCCACATTATCAGCAATCGCTTATCCAGAAAAGAACAAATTTACAATAGCGAAAAAACCGTTAGTAACAATTTCATTTTGCTGCGCAATTTGAACGAATTATGTTGTTATTTTTTTTACTAGCATTTATATAGTTGGTGGGCCTTCTACTTATTCACATTGTTGGTGTGCAACAATTGTGAAGTCTTTGCCGTCGTTGCAACATGAAATTGAGGGCTGATTTTTTAGAGCATGTCTAACTGGGCTAAGAAAAGCAAGCGCACTCGACTGATATAAATAATGCACTTGAAAATATCTCTCATTTTAATATTAGATCACACCAGAAAAACAAATGATATTAGTAATATTTTTGTTTGGTAAAGAATTGAATGTACAAATTACAAAAAATATTAATACAGGGCAAGAAAAACAGGAAATTTAAATGTTGCATGACATTTGCCATAGCGAATATACCCACAATGTGCCGTAGGTTTGCTGGGTATACAAATTGCATGCTGCATGAATTGCAATATTGAACGTGTACATAGTTTGCAACATGTTGTTGTTGCCGCTGCTGCCACAATGAGTAGAAGCAGAGGTGATAAGTAACGAAGGAGAGCCTAACAAAAGCGTACTGTCAAATAATATTGTACAAAGTTGATCAAAGTGCTCATAAAGCATAAACATTTAAACTGTTTACGCTCTTAAAATGATATATTATTATTGCGATTGTTGTTGGGGGGCGGCGCTGGAGGAGGAAAAGGAGGACGAGGTACACCACAATTCATTGGAAATGTGCAGTGCTCCAAGGGAAGTGCTTTCAAGCGAAAAACAATTTGGATTTCATCAAGCTTGGCTTTTACCAATTTAGCCGGAAAGTTAGATTATCCTCGCAGCGCGCACAAAAGGGAACACAACAGGCACACGCACAAGGGATGAATAAGGCGTGGCAAGCCGAAAAAAATAATATAAGAATTGAGTTCATTACACAAAAATTCATCATACACACACAACAGACACACAGGGAGAGATACAGATACACGCAGGCAATGTCATCCTAACTGCGAAGTTAAATTCCGTGAAATCCAAATTCAAGTGAGTGGCAAAGAAGACGACGACGACGAAGCGAGCACAGCAACAGCTGAAGACACATTTCACCAGAACTGGCCATAAAGCAGAAACCTCAGCTCTGCCACAGACGGGGCACAAAGGCGAAGAGAGAAACCCAAACTCAAACTCAAACTGAAACGCATGCCCTTTGTGCCAAGCGCAAAAATTGCTTATGTGCGTGTGGATGTGTGTGTGAGCGTGTGGGTTTGTACTTGTATGCGGTGTCTACTTGCATTTGAGGTCGTCCAACTTATTTTTGTTTTGCTTTTAACGAAAGCTTATCGTACTCTCCAATTCTAGTTTAGACATATTCGCTGACAACAACAACGACAATAATAAAAATAGCTTTACAACTCTGGATATCGTTTGCAAGTGTTGTACATTATTCACATGCAAAATATGTGTAAGTAACAATTCCAAATATCAGCAATCAAAACAAATGGAATTCAAAAGATACATACAAAGAGACAGGCGCACACAACTATGTATTTCTTAGAATTGTGTGTACACGAATACCGACAACAAATTCGCAGAACACAAAAAAAAATTGCGACGCGTACGGCGCTTGTTATCAATAATAATCATAATAAACGTAAAACATTTTTGTTTTTGGAAATCCTAATTGTAAACGCCTCTGCTGAGTGCACACTACTATTTCAGAGTCCGAGGTGCACAGAAAAAAAAATACAAAAACAGAATTTGAACGAATTGCAATTTGCGTGGAGAAAAAAGAGTAGAGGCAGAAAGAAGAAACAGCAAAGCAGCATCCGAGAGCGAGCAACAAGCAAGAGCGCATGCAAAGTGCAGCAGGTGAGCGTTAGCCACTGTCTGTGTGTGTGTGAGAGTGAGTCGACTGTCTGTCTGTCAGTGTGTGTTTTTGAGAGAATGTGCCTGTGAAATTTTCGGGCGAACGTTGCGCGAGCGCCACAAACTAAAGCCAAAGACCGGAGTTGGGCTGCTGCTGTTGACCAGCGCCGACACCAAAAGCTACAAACACAGGCGCACGCTCACATAACAACGACAGCAATAATAGCGCAATGGGGCTGACCGTGAGCAGCGTGCCTACACACACACACTCGAATGTATGTATTTGTATTGGAGGCATCGGCATCTGCAGAAGCCTTTTGCGCACTCATCAAATTTTCGTGGAAATCGAATCAAAAAGGAATAAAATTGTATGTGTGTCTGCCTGTTTGTGTGTGTGCGTTTTGGTATTGGTGAATGTTCGTGCCCTGCTTCTTGCCTGTAGCTGTTCCTCTTTTGGGTTGTTTAATGTACATGGGATATGGATACGGTTATACTTGGTACACTTCACTTACCTTGTAGTATCGATGCCAACCGGACCCAGTTTTTTTGTCATTATATTCCTGTTCGATTTTCAGCCTGGCTGGCGTATTATCCTTTGTTGGCGTTGCTGCTCGATTCTCACTCATCGTTAATCACTCCAACTATTGTGTTCTATTTGTTATTTGTTTGTTTCTTTTTTTTTTTTTTAATAAATTAAAGGTAATTCTGTAATTTGTTAATAGCTGCTTGGTTTGCTTTGGTCTAGCGGCGTTGTTTTCGACACACGGACACCGACACCGACACACAACTGGCACCACACAGTAAATAATGCGTAAGAAAATTTGACTACTACGGCGACGGTCTGACGTTTTGTCCTATGTTGTCTTTTGCTCATTTGCTCGCTAGCGCGTGTTGGCTGTCAATTTATATATATATTAAAATAACTAAGTACGAGCACTACAGCATTTACCACATTATTCACTGGAATTACGATGAAATAACAAATGCGTGCGTTTAGTTCTGGTTACTAATGTTTTTCTCTTTTGCCTTTTTTTTCCACAAAATTAGTAATTGATGTTTCGATGGATGACGAGCAACAGCAGTTATCGAAAAAAACAAATCGAGCAGCTATCGCTAGTCAACGGTCACACTGGCGCACAAAATCCAACCAGTTGACAGACCCAAGCACAATCAGCTGTTTTTAGTCGCGTAATAATTTAGTTGAATTAAATATGCTAAAAACGCCCATTTTCCGCTTGATACGCGATCAACGTTTAAGCGTGCCTATTTTGCGTGGTTTTCATCACGAATTTACCAAGCCAGAGCCGAAAGCTGCCAAGCAACAGACTGAGAGCACAAATCAGTCATTTGTCGCTGGCGGCGTGCAAAATAAATATAAAATATTTCGCGACGAGGAAGCCACTGAAATTTTCGATGTGGACGAGTTGCGCTACCAGGAAAATGAGCTGCCCCCCGAAGCCGAACAGGATCAGTACTTGGGACTCAATTTGAAGAGTATGTCAGAATTACTGGAGATTTTTTTTATTCACTGATTTTTTCTTGGCAGGAGGCATTCGTGGCGTATTTGATGTTGAGGATCTAGTGGAGCTGTTGCGCAAGGAGAATGTCGACGACATCTTTGTATGCTATGTGCCCGAAGAGTTAAAGTATGTGGATCATCTCGTCGTTTGCAGTGCACGAAGCTATCGTCATATGCTCGCCACAGCAGAGTTTGTCCGCCGCATGTTCAAAATAAAACGGTCGAAGGGAGATCTGCTGCCCCGCATCGAGGGCGAGAAGAGTCGCGACTGGATGGCCATGGATTTGGGTGCGTATTCGATGAATATATCAAATCCCATTTTCGTTATATTGATATTATAAATTCGTTAATTTAGGCAACATTGCGCTGCACATATTCTCGCCCAAGGCACGCGAGAATTATGATCTGGAATCGTTGTGGGCAATTGGACCGCAATACGATCCGGAAAGTCAAAAGCCACACAATCCGCTCGGCAACATATTCTTGGCCAAGCCGGAAACGTAGCCAGCCTTGCTGAACGAATAAAGTTAATGTGTCTATTTTAAGAAATGGATTTTATTGTTATCTCTACCAGACGACAGCATCGTCCAACAGTTTTCTGTGAAAATCATAGAGGCTGGCAAACACATGATTTTTATTGATCTTCCCGCCGTACTTCTTCACCAGATACGAGTAGCTCTTCTCGTGCACAAGTGCTGCATGCCAGCCCGCGTCCTGGGCGCCCAAATAATCCGTAGTGGGTCCATCGCCCACGTGCAGGCACTCCTGCGGCTTTAGGTTCGCCAGACCCGCTTCCAACATGGCACGCTCGAATATGGCCGCCTGCGGTTTCTCCACCTTCGCCTCATACGAAGTGAGCGCAAAGTCCAAGTACCGATCGAGTTTTGTGTTGTGCAGCAGCGCTTCGAGGCGCGGATCAAAATTTGCTATCATGCCAACCTTGCACTGATCCTTTTCGGCCTGGGAATGTTTGCGCAGCTGCTTCAGCAGCTCCACGCTGCCATTGCACGGCTGCCAGCAGATGCTCGATTTGTACAGTTCCAGCAAATGGTTGGTGAAATTGTCCAATTTCTCATCGGGTATGGGTGCGCCACTGTCCGCAAATGTGCCTGCGACAGACAGCGAGGGAGAGAGAGAGAGAAATAAGAGATCAGTGCCAAAATTGAACTTTTGAACTTTGAAGCGAATTAATCGCTTTACCTGCTATCAGCTGACGCCACCAACGTTGCCACTCAAGTCGCGGCTGCGATTCACACCCAAAATTCGGATAGTCGCGATTCAGCTTGTACCTGCAGCAATAACAAATATATTTTAATAATAGTATAAGTAATCATGCAATTGATACGCACCAGTTGGCCTTGTAGTTTTTGGCCAGCTCGTCGTTATCACAGCGCGCACCAAAAAGCGCCCCGACCTCGCCATAATGTTTGCCGGGACTGGTGCGAAACTGCAGCAGCGTATTCGTCAAATCGAAGGTTATCAAGCGAAAGCGTTTCAAGCTGCGCATCTCTTTTCAATTAATAAGCTTTTAACTTTGCAGGCAGATCCTCGTCGTCGTCGTTTCTTATTTTTTCTTCTTCGCCTTGCGCTTTGGCTGAGTTGAGTTCGCGTACTACGTGAGTGGAAAGCATAATTGTTTTGTATGACCGCTGTTGCTGTCGCTGCTGATGCCGCCGCCGCTGCTGCTACCGATTATGTTGTTGTTGTCGTTGTTCTTATCAGCGAAATATTTGTGTAAATCTTTATTGTATGTGTTTGTTTTTGTATTTGTTTTTGTGTTTGTTTTGCTGTTTTGTTCTGTGCTGTGCTTGTCAATTCATTAATGACAGCTAACCTTATCTATATAGCCAATTCGAGTAATTTCATATATTGATTTGCATTGTCAATAAACTCATCAGCGATTTCTTATCAGTTGTGCTGCTTTTTCAAATGCGCGCAACAGTTGTGTGGAGCGTTGCCAGCTTGCACTGATTCTTAGCAGCTGGCAATTGTGGAGCACAGCATTGCCAACGTTAAATATTGGGTTAGTTAAGACACAAACCCGCAATAAGGCGCGCATTTGAAAATGGATTTGAAGCGGGAAGAGTTGATTGTTTGTTATGTGCAACGTTCGATTTGGCGCCGTTGCCATTTCGAGGTCGGCAACGTTTTTTTTTGCCAAAAATAAATGTGGAGAAGCAACTTGGCATATGCGAAAACGTGTCAGTTTTATTAATGCTCGTGGGAAGCAATAACAATCAGACGAACACAACAACAACAACAATAACAGCACTTGCACGTTTCTGTCGTTTTGACCTACCAAACAAATCTCTTTGTCTACCTGCCCCAAGTTGCCAAATTGTTTTTTTCTTTACTCGGAAAGGCAAGAAATGCATAAAAAAGTTGATTTACTGAGTTAGTTGAAAATAAGAAATTGAAATTGATTTTTTATTATATGATGTTTTCTAAATATATAATTTTTTTTTAATGTTATAGGAAAGTGTATCAAAAATTCGTTGTGATTTTTCAATCTGGTTCAATAAAAAATTGCATTTGCCGAGGATCAATAAGAAAAGAAATTGGCAATGAAAGTAGCGCACTGCCAAATTTGTATCCTTTTATTGGCGGTGCAGCAAATAAAAAGCATAATAACAACAACAAGAGCAACAACAACAACACGCACACACACACACACGCATACACATCCGTATAAGGTATTCAACGAAATTCCAGTGAAACCACACATAAAAATAACAAAAGCATAAATTCATTCATACCCAAAACGGCTTCAGCTTCAGCTCCATCCTCAACTCCGTCTCCAACTAGCAACAAAAGGTGTGCTGCACACACACACACACACACAACGACAGCAACTTCTTTGTTGTGTGCACTTTAAACTTCACGCGAGGATCGAAGGGAAAGGGGAGGAGCATCGCATCGCTTTTGGACAGCGGTCGCTGATTTTTGTTGACTCGTTCGCCCACAAAACAAAACAAAAAAGAAAAAAGAAAAAACAAAAGCAAATAAAAAATAAGTACAAAACTAAAATTTGCGCTTATTTAATCTGTTGGGCTGCGCCCAGTTTGCAGCACCTTTGGTATTTGCCAATTTTGTACGTTTTCGCTATAAATAAAGTATCAATTTGCCTCAGTCTTGTTCGAGGTTCGGGTTTCTATGGAAGGGCGAGGGACCCCAAAATCTCTGTAAATTCCATACATACCAGCCAGGGAACGAGTGGTTTTTGCTGTTGCTGCCTGTTGTCTGGCATTTTGTAGGGCCAAGATACAAAAATATACCAAGAATTGGTAAAAGTATGAATGGAATTTATGAAAAACTTCATATAATGCATTTGATATGTTGGTTGCAAGTTCAAAGTATTATTTATGTTATTGGCATAGATAGAACTATTGCCCGCAGGAGAAGTTCTTATTATTTGGGGATGGGTCAAAAGTTTCCACATAACTTGGTCTAAACTGAACTCCCAGCCCTTTTATGTTCCAGACTTATAAAACATAATCGAAAAGGTTTTGATTTTGAAAATCTATTTAGCCTTAACTCAGTATTTTTTCCAATTATATCGAAAGTGATCAGCACGATCGATAATTCGATATATATATATATATATATATATATATGTCAGATGTGCCGACATATGTCCTACTCAATGATTAGTATGTATTAGCCTGTGTTTCGCCAACTACTTAAGTTGCAAAAAAAAAAAAAATGAAGAAAAAAAGTCCGCCCAACTTTCAACAAAAACTTTCCCAAGAAAATTAACCAAGCAACCAACTCAACCAAGTCAAGTCAAGTCAAGCCGAGAGCCGATGCCGATGCAGAGGCGAGCCAAAGCAAACCAAACCAAACCAAGCCAAGCCAAGCCAAGTCAAGCAGCCAAAGAGCCAGCCAGCCAGCCAGCCAGCCAGCCAGCCAACCAATAATAATAAAGTCAATGACTCCCATGGAATTTCATGTTGGCCCTTTTCGAAATGTGTCTGCCAGTCGGTCGGACCAACTCCAACTCGGCTGGCTGGCTCTTTGGCTGTCTGCCTGTCTGGCTGTCTGTCTGTCTGTCTGTCTGACTGGCTGCCGGACTGCCTTTTAATATTATCTGCACTTTGGGTCTTTGGCTGCCGCCGCTTTTGTTGTTGTTACCATTGCAGTTGTTGTTGCTGCTGCTGCTGCTGCTGTTTGTTGTTGTTGTTGTTTTGATTGGTCGCTTTAACCTGTTTGCGAATTTCTACCATGTTAATAAATAATTTTTAGAGGATTCGCTAGCAGCAGCAGCAGCAAAAGTACCGCACCAGCGCCAGCGCCATCAGTAACCGGACATTGAAGCCAAAGACATTGACTGCAACTTGGTTTCCTTTGGCCACTGGATTAGATAGCCACTTGTGTTGTTCTTGTTGTTCTTTTTATTGTTGTTGTTGTTATTGTTGCACTCTTGCACCATTCTGTGTGACTTAAAATTGCAGACAGACAACGCCTGTAGCAGCGTCACTTACCACCCGCCACCTTCACCACCCACCTCAAAATCACCCACCTTAACATGAAACACGTTTCCTTTTTGTGCAGCTTTTCTTGACCAACACTGGCGAAATAACAACAGAAAATCTGGCTAGGAAATTGTGGCTTAAGCCCAAATGGCTTTTTTACTTTATTTACTAAAAAATACATAATTAACTCAATCATGTTTGCAATAGGATTAGATGAAGATTTCAAGCCTGAAGTTGCTGAGTTAAGTCAGTGTTTTATTTGCAATAATAATTACTAATTGTAAATAAATTAATTATGAAATACGGAACTCTAATAAACATTGCAAAGATAGCCCAAAAGTATGCTAAATATAAATGTACAAAATATAATTAGAAAGCAATTAAAACCGTCGAATATAAATAATGCAGAAAAATGGAAAAATATTTAATAAAAAGAAATATTAAAACTAAATGACAAATGCTGATATATCACAAAAGATGACACGAGAATTGATTAAAATCTCTCGTTTTAAAAACTCTCAACTTTTGTGAGTTGGACGGACCAGAAATGAGTTCCCCGTGGAATAGATTTTTGGCAATGGATTGTCCTCCAGATTGATTTGAAGTTGTATCTCAAATTGGAACTAGTATCACAGTATGCATCACTTCATGGCTTCATACCCACACCCATCTCCAACTTCAATTCCAACTTGAACTACAGCTCCAACTACAAGTTGATGGTGTTCTTGTTTGAAATTCCTTGTCAGCCTTTTGGGTTTATTTTGTGTTCTGCTCGCAGTGTCGAGTCTGCAACTTTGCCGGCATCTTCGCCTCCGTCTGCGTCGTGTGTTCGTCTTCTGGGCCTTTGTCTGAGTTTTATGTGCCGCTGCCTCTGGTTCGTTTGTTAAATGTTTGGGTTTTGTTTGAGTTTATTGAGTGAGTTCCCGGAAAAACGCAAGAATTTGTCTTTGGCCGTTGTGTTTTTGCTTTGCTGCTGCTGCTGCTGCTGCTGTTCTGCTGTTGTTGCTGCCGATTCGGCGGTTGCCGCACTCTGGACCACGACGAGACCAAAAGCGACGCCCAACGCCAGATCAGAGACGCAGCCGAAGAGATGTAGACGACTTTTGGAGTTCGAGTTCGAGTTGGAGATGGAGATGGGGATGGGCATGGGCATGGGGATAGAGGTTGAGGCAGATGTCGATGCCACTGGTGCAGAACACAATTCGTTCTCAAAGGTGTCTGTATGGGTTTGAGCTGATGTGGGGTGGACAGGTGATTATGACTTTTGGCAGGACACTTAATGCGTTGGCGATCAGCGGCAAAAGATCAGCAAACGCAAAAGCAAAAGCAAAAGCAAAAGGCACAAACCATTCAAATGACTGAGTTTGCAGACCGTGTGAGCTACTTAGGGATTCCACTTCAACATACAGCACGCTTTCGTCATCGGAAATCACTTAAGATTCCCCTACATTTAGCTGAATCATACAATTCCACAGATTTTCACCCACAACTAGGAGGGGAAATAGGGCCCCTCCCCCTGCCCCCCTCGACTATGGCTACCAAAAATAACGGAAATGCCTGCATTAGACATTTGCTATTTTCGACCGATGATTGAGTTGCAGTGATTAAGGGAAATAGCTCCATATATATATAGACATATATATACATATGTATGTGTGTAGCTGCCATACGGAAGCATGGAATGCATATGTACGACTCTGTCTATCTGTCTGTCAATGTGGCCCCCAATAGAAGCCAACGCACACGGAGAAGAGAACCAAAGGGCCCGACGAAGTCGTCGCATTCCGGTGCCCAAGCGGCGGGCACTGGGCATTCCCAGACAATGCCCAATGCCCCAAACACCAACACACACACTCAAACACACACTACACACACACAACACACACACAACACATATTCAAATACAGACGGCGCGAGAGAGATAGAGGCAAAGGTTGTACGATCTGTATAGCCTTCCCTATATATATATATATATATATATAATACTTTAAATAAAACTTTTGCTTGCTGTGCAACACACACACACTCGCACACACACACACACTCACACACACATTACATTTTTGTTGTTGTTTGCTTAGGATGGATTTTCCCCTGTTGATGATTTTCTTTGCATTGCTTTCTTTTCAATTTTCTAGTTTTTTTTCGGATCTTCTATTCTGTTTTCCTTTTCGC